GTATCAGTTTTTCCAATGGAAAAACACACTTTCTTTTGTTTGCTATGGGAATTTGCTTTCTACCTTCAACTTTTACTTTTTCCTGCTTCTCAGATGGCAAAAATTAAAGATATATGAACTGTGATGGCATGGGGTACAGCAATTTGTGACTCTTTCTCAAGCACTGGATATACTTGGAATTTTTGTTATAGAAAATGAAGATTTTTTAGATTATGTAAATATGCCAGCTAGTACAATTTTAATATGTTGACTAAGCTTTAAATAATGTGTTTCATGTTGTTCAATTAGTAAATAAGCTTTGGTTTGATAAGAAAGTACGTATTGTATGTATTTCATCCCCCCCCAAAAAAAAAATCCCCTCCCCAAGGCTTCAAAATTTCTGGAGATTTTATATCTCTAGCTTTATTATTACAAATGTAATGTTTTCATATTCTTATGTGAGGCAAAGGATGGGGGGTTTGCCAGGTAGTAAGGCTTCCATACATTTCCTACGTGCTTGGTTGGTTGTCTGTATTGTTACTCAGCTGCTTATGAAGTTGAGTGGGGAAGGTATTCCCCTGAGCTTAACACTTTAATGCAGGGGTGTCAAACATGCAGCCCGGGGGCCGGATCAGGCCCCTGGAGGGCTTCTATCAGGCCCGCAGTGGAACTGGCTGTCTTTTGCTTCTTCTAGTTCTGCTGCTGCTGCATCATCGTAGGTTTGCAGCTTACAGATACACACAGCTGAACAGCATACTCAAGATTGCAGCAGCACAGACATTCTGATGCAATAATTCAGAGCAAGAGGTGTCAGTTATCAGACACTGTTACATAAAAAAAATATTGCAAGAGTGCTAATGTTTTAAGCATGTTTTTAAGTAAAAAAAAACCCTTTGTGTTTGTGTCCTTTATAAAGTTTAGATCTTTGCTACCTGGCATTACATTTCATGACACACATGGCCAGGCTCAACAAGGTCTCATTTATGTCCGATCCGGCCCTCATAACAAATGAGTTCGACACTCTGGCTTTAATGGCTAGAGCCTACTGTTAAACTACAGATCTTCTTCCCTGCTTTTCCTCCATGATTTACAGTGCCAAGTATTGCTTGTGTACTTTGAAAGATTAAGTAGTTGTTTTCATGAGTCTTAATTTGAATGTATGAACTGACAGCTTTGAGGGTGTTCTTTTAAATTGAGGAACTATATCCAGGTATCTCTGAATTTGTGGGGGGGGGTTGTATTTTTTAAATGTGTGCGTGTGTGAGTGTGTGCGCACCTGGAAGTCATAGCGACCTCTGGTGACTGACCCCTACTGGGGGCCTGGAGGATATTCAGAGAGGTGGCTGAACAAATCCTGCCCCCACCTCCCACCTCTGGTATTCCTTGGAGGTCTCCCATCCAAGTACTTGCTAGTGTCGACCCTCCTTAGCTTTCAAGATCTGACAAGATCAGGCTTGCCTGGCCGATCCGGGTCAGGACTGAATTTGTGTTTTTCGCGTGTTACCCTATGACGGGTTTGGGTGGGCTATGCAGTTAATGTGAATTTAGATGTGGAAACGGAACCATTTGGGGAATGGAGTTTTGTCAGGTGATCTTTCTTTCTTTCTTTCTTTCTTTCTTTCTTTCTTTCTTTCTTTCTTTCTTTCGTCACACATCTATGTATAGTCATGAGTTCATGTCCATACAATACAGGCAGCATTCCCTGCCCACTCCCCACCCCCAAAAGTAAAATCCTCTTGAGTTGAAAAGTTACACACAGAAACGTAAAGCCAGTCTATGAGAAATTAGTTTTGGTGACCTTTCAGTTACTCAGACACATTGAGAACAGAGGGGGGAAAGGAATCTTATTGCTGGCTGGTAAACAGGACCTTTGGCCAAGATTCCAGTTGGTTTATATTTGGGGAGGAACTTGTGTCAACTTTTGTAAATTTAACCCAAATACTACGACTAACCCCCAAACTCTCAGCATCCTCTTCTGATCAGAAATGCTAACAAAGAGTTAAAAGGAAACGTTAAAACAAGACAGAGTCTGTTTTCATTTCCCTTTTGCTTGGGATGGCCAAGAACGCAGCATTTGGGATCCAGAATAATATTTGGGCTACATTTCAGGACGTATTGCCTAGCAGGGGTACAGTATGAGTTCAATATGAGTAAAAAATGGCTATCTGATCAGCTGATTTCATTTCACCATGTTGAATAATATATGAACCCACAGTGATTTTCATTATATTTCCAGGACTTTGGAGTAGAATCTAGTAGGCTCACTCCCCTTGTTTCCAGTAGAATTTCAGTTCCCGTACGTTCTTGGTTTGGCTCGAAATTATACTGAGAAGAGTCGGTTTGAATGAATGAGGACAACCTTTGATTGTTCTCCTTTCCAGTGTCTGCTGTGGACCACTGATAATTCTCAAGTCATGTTTGCTAAATATTTTTCCAGTCGAAACCAGGAGAGAGACTAGAAAAAAGACTGATTGGGAATCAATTACCAGCCCTGGGAGAGTGACTAGTATTAGTGTTGCCCCGTGGAGGATTATCAGACAAGCCCATTAGTAGTACAGTCTGTACAACCTCAGCATTGTTAAAGCAAAAGTTCATTGCATTAGTAAGCACTCTTGAGGGTGGTGTTTATGTCGGATGTTTCTATGACAGAGCCTTAATGTAAAGGACAGAGGGAAGGGAAATCCTCCCAAAATTAAAATGAAAGGGACTCGTTATGTATCTAATGTATAGTTAGCATTACTTCAAGGAAGTATCGGCTTTCCAGACATCTCTTCAAACAAATAGTGTCTGAACAGCAAAAACTGAAAAAGAAATAGCTGAAGCTACAATGTTGTTGATCTGTGGAATGGGAGAAAGAGGATTTTCTTATAACAAGATGAATTTCCTGAAACGGGGGCGTTTCATTGCCATGTAGTGATCATATTTCTGTCAGCAAAGCAGAGGCTTGAGGTTCTGCTAACTTAATATAAAATCCTGAATAATAAGGTACAAATGGTTTATTGCTTTACAGGTAGTAGAAATGATCTGGAAAGGATACGTGTTTACTATTCAAAGACTATTCGGGAGAAAGTAAGAGGTGTAGTAATCAGAAAGCAGATTTCCTACCTAAAAATCCCTTTCGGTTCTTGCTCAGTCTAAAGGGGGGGGGGGGAAATACTGAATGTTGATGAGGAATTAGTGAATCCCTAGAAACTAATAAAATATGTCCCATTTCTCATACCCAGTGCAGCCTAGTAGAATGTCTTTCTGTACTGAAATTAAAAGTTGGGAACCGTTCCCTTCAAAGCAGGCTGTCAAAGGGACATTTGTATGCATGTGTTCATGTACTGGGGGGGGGGAGAGAAGAGAATCATGTTTTGAACGTCACATTAATTTTTTGAGACTTTACTGTAAATAATTGGGCTGGTATCCAGATGTGACTTTCCCCCAAATGAACACTAAAGGTATTATTCATGCCATTTTCTTTCTTGGATCAGTTTCACAATACTGGAAATCCTTTCTTTCTTTCTTTTTTGAAATGGGATAAGAATTTGACAGAGGTTGCCCGCAGCTTTTCGTTTTTCTCCCCGCTCTTGAAAACAGGTTTAAGATTCCACTTCAGCTCTTAAAAAGCAGATAAGACCCCACCCTCCCAAAAAGGAAAATGGTGTGTGATGAGATATGGATATCAAGAGAGCTTTGAACAGACAGCAGAGGAGCTAAGCTAGGGAGGAGATTGTGAAATTGTAGCAGCGGACCATACAGTCCAATAAACCTGCAGTCGAGCGGGTGGGAGAGAGCGGCTAGATAACACTGTTGAAGAACTAAGCTGCATTTTGAAAAGGGGGAACAGTTTACTTCTTAAGTGAAGGTTTCAAAGCAGCATTTGATTGGGCACAGCTATCTATAGCCTTTGCGTGGGGGTGGGATTGTGAGCAATATAAAGTAGTTTAGACTATGCTTACTTCCCAAAAAACTATCACTTCAGGGATTTTATGTGAATCCCCCCCCCTTAAGATTTGAAGTTTGTTGCTTTTACGCACAAGGAACAGATCTTTTGGTGCTTTAGCACCAAATGTGCATTTCAGAAACAGACACTGATAGTTGTTTGAGTTTGCTTTATATTTCTCCCCAGTAATGCTGTTCCGAGACATTGGGCTTCCAAGTGGTCTCTTTGTCGCTTATATATTTTCACTGGAAGGTTTTCTAGGGCAGGGGGAAGATGGTGGATGAAAGCCTTCCTCCTGCGTTGCATCTGTTGTTGTTTTTTCTCTTGTCAGCCACACGAGACGTAAAGCTCCCTGCCATCTTCCCGGTGTGCCCAGACAACTTCCAGGCGGGAGACCATGTTTGAACTAAACTGAGTTATCTTGGATAGAAGGCCATGGCTGGTTGGGAGGCAGAGACTCAACTGCGGTTTATTTACCCTCCTCTGCAAATTAGGAAAACATATTCCTCTACGCTGTGTTCATGGGGCATGCAGAATCCATATTGGGGTTTGCAGTAGTAAAGCCGACCCGGAGGCCCGACACCTCCTCGAATGGAGACTGAAATGTGGAACCCTGAAACCCTTTCTCTCATTCTGTGTTTACCCCTGCCGTATTCCTCGAGTTTCCTGAGGCCCAAAAGGCTTTCACGTCAGATTTCCCAAGCGCTCAGCACTTACTTCCGCTTTCCGTTAACTCCATACGCATCCTTTGTGTCTGAAGATTTAACGAAAGGTTAAAAGAACATCCCTAAGCAGCCTCCCAAAGTCTGATCAGGAAGGAGAAGTTAATGTCCCCAGGAATGGACCATTCCATTCATATATCTTATCTTTACCTCTCTGAAGTCCGACTCTACTAATTCTTTCAGTTATGTAACAGTGTTAAGACAGTCTATGAAGTCACGGAGAAAAAGAGGCCCAGGGCCTCCCATCTCACCCATTCTCATCCTTTATTTTATTTTTAAAGGTACTTTAGGCTCTCTAACTCTGCTAGCTGGTGCTGTCCGCAAGACTTCCGTTTTAAATCCTTTTTTTCTCTTTTGTTTTTGTTTTGTAGACCCCAGACAAGCACAGTCCTCCCCTCCATGGTCCTATGACCAGTCATACCCATCATACTTGAGCCAGATGACTTCACCATCCATTCATTCCACAACTCCCCTGTCCTCCACACGAGGCACGGGGCTTCCTGCCATCACCGATGTGCCCAGACGGCTCTCAGGTAAAGACCTTGTTTGAACTCAAATGGCTATCTCAGACAGAGACAGGGCAAGAGGCAGGGACAGCCGCAGCTGTTTAGGGTTTACTGCGGCGCATCGACCATCACCTCCGAACTATCTAAAATAGATGGAGGACGGTCCATAAACTCAGCCGCTTCATCTTATTTCACCTTCATGGCATTAAGTGTCTAAGTTCACAATATCTCGGGGCTTTAGTCTGTTCTATTTTCAGCAAGGGATGCTTTTTACTGGTTATTTTTTATGTAAATGCAAACGTTTTCTTCCTTTTGGGTGGCAGTCCCTCTTAAAATGTCTTGTTTCACACTAAAAAAAAAATTAGATTACGCATTACAGACAAAGGTCTACAATAATAGATCCAATAGGTCTAAGGCTTAAAGGCATTTTTTTAAAAAAAGCTGATAGTTTGGAAAAGCCTCTTTGCCCAGCCGCTGTGTAACTAAGATCCCTATCAGAGGCTGATTTCCTTTCAGGATATAATGCCCTTCTGGAATCGATGGGATGATAGCTCTACAGAACGATGGAATGGGGGGGGGGGGCAGGAAGTCTTTCTAGGAGCATAGCACCAGATAATGCCAACACAAATATCAGTCATATAGAACAGACGAGGTGACATATATACACACACACACACACACACGGGCACGCCCCACAAGTACTCAGGGTGATCTATCTCTGGGTAAAACAATCCAGTTGCTGTATTGTAACGCAGTGTACAATTACAGACAGTCATTCCCTGTATTTTGTCACCGGGGGGGGGACCGAGAGGAAAGGCCCCCCCCAGCTCTGCTAGAACACTAACTCTCTAAAGAGACAGGTGTGGAAACGAGTGACCTATCTGCCTGAAGTATGTGTAACATGAGGAAACCTTTATGATTCATTATTAAAGCGTGAAGGACTCTCACGTCTTATATCAGCTCCCTTTATCCTCGCCCTGGTTTTGCTATTGTTACTGTCTCAGACGCTCTCATCCTGTACACCTGTTTGATTCCCAGCCAGGTGAACGTCTGTCGTGGTGGTTCTCCCCCCCCCTTCCTCCACAAAGCTCAGACATAGGACTGTATAAATGTTACTTCACTTCACTGCATCCCTGACAAGGCTGAACTGCGGCCAAGAGGCATGTAGGATTTGATTACTTTTTAAAAGATTCTTTCATTTCTTTCGTCTTAGCAGAGGGACACGTTTTTCGAGTTCAGAACAAAAGCTCTGGAAAAAACCTCTCTGGCCTCTGCTCTCCCGCGTGTCCTTCATAGATCAGGAGGCGGCATCCCTAGTCTCGCCCTTGTTGGGGAAACTCAAAATCACGGCTTTTGGGACACACGAGCCAGCCATCTCTGGTTTGGGGTTTGACCCGGACCAAATCGTTTGCTTTAGTGGGCAGGCCGTCTTCGCTTAGCTCAACTTTCCCGACATCTGGGAACTTTGGGTTTTGTCAGAGGAGTTATTTTTGCGGGTTTGCCGCCGGCAGTCCCTGTGGGGGAATAGCCAAGCCGGGACAGCAGCAGCTGTGGAGGTTTCTTGCCCTGAAGCCCTTGCTTGTCGGTGTGCATTCAGACATGAATGCCTCTCATGCAGAAGAGCCCAAGTGCTTAGAAGTCCTACCGTCATTGTGCGGAAAGCAATTTACCCTGCCTAACTCCCCACCCCCACCCCTTCACATTTAGAGAAGTGGTCGATTCCGCCATTTTTGTCCCAGCACTTTTCTCTTTGCCAAAGAAATTGGATCTGGGCTGTTGAGTTTCATGGCACATTGAGCTGCACTGGGGCTTTCGTGAACCAAAGAATCTGGCTCAGAAGGGAGTCATTTATAAAATCTGGACAAGATAAATCCTCCCAAAATGCAAGATGTGAAGGTGTTTTTTAAAAAAAGAGACAACATGGGACCTCGTTCCTTTCTTTACCCACTGATAACATGCCAACAGCCCCTTTCTACATCAGCTTAGCTGCACTGGAGTCACTGGGTTGGATCCAGGCTAAATTGGAGATTTCTGCTGATTCCTCTTCATTTCATTTGGGAGCCCCCCCAGGAGCATGAGGAGGAGGGAGGCAGGAAAGGTCCCTCCTGACACTGGAAGGTGTAGTTGGGGTCCAACCCACTGGTCTGTGGCTTCTCAGCCATGGCATATGAAGCTGCCTTATACCGAATCAGACCATTGGTCGATCAAGGTCATTGTTGTCAACACAGACTGGCAGCAACTCTCCAGGGTTTCAGGCTGAGGTCTTTCCCATCACCTTCTACCTGATTCTTTTAGATGGAGACGCTGGGCATTGAACCTGGGGCCTTCTGCGCAGATCAAGTAGATGCTCTACCTCTGAGCCACTGCTCCTCTATTGCTTGGGGCTGCAGAACACGAAGGGCACCAATACACCACAGGAGCTCAGCTTATTCCCGGCTACCAGCAGCATGGGAATCCCTTGCTGGGCCTGCCGTGCTGTCAGTCAGCTCCAGGCCACGCCCCAGTGGGCAACTAAGAGCCGGACCCAGCTGTTGGTGTCGTGGGCCCATGAGGTGGTGGACGTACCTCTCTTGGGATGGCCGAACACACTGAAACAGCCCTGTCCTCCCCTCGCCACTGCAGTAATCCCAGAGGGTAATGTTAATTGGACTAACATGGGAAGGACGTATATGGGCCATGACTCCTGTGTCAGTCAGGGAATGTCGGAAGGCAGTGGTAGCGGGAGCCGTAAGAGTTTTTCCCGATGTACAGTACAAGCCGTGTTCCCTCTAAGCCGAGTTAGTGTGAGCTAGCTCACAGTTTTTTAGCCTCTGGCTGACACATTTTTGTCTTAGCTCAGGAAGGATGGCTCCAGAGCAATCTAATTTATGCAGTAGCCAAATCGCTCGCTCACAACTCTAATGCCAATAGCTCACAAAGTAGGATTTTTGCTCACAAGACTCCACAGCTTAGAGGGAGCATTGAGTGCAACCCTGTTTCCATTCTTGGGTTGACAATCTCTGTCAGATAAATAGAGTTAGGTGCATTAATCTGAATATCTGACTGAGGTTTTTGGTGGGAGGGGACCTATTCTCTTGAAATTTACTCAGAATTCCAGGAATATCCCCGCAAACATTCTGCTTGCCCTGTGGTCTTCCAGATACGTTATACTTTGCGAGGCAATTTTTTTTTACCAGCGCTACTCTGATGTTTGTCACAATGAACAAAACATATGAAGGGGAAACGTGGATTCCTTAATATTTATTTTATTTATTTACAAAACTTTTATGCTGCCTTTCTGCCCAATCAGGGCCACTAATGCAGGTAAAAATCAAGCACAGAGCATTATAAAAGTACACCATAACCCTAATTAAAGCCAAAACTAAAGCACTCACATAGAACACTGAGGAGGGAGGGTGGCGTGGTGTAGCCTGATCTTGTCAGATCTCAGAATTGATCCAGGGTTGGTACTTGGATGAGAGACCTCCAAGGAAGACTCTGCAGAGGAAGGCAATGGGCAAACCATCTTGGCTTCTCACTTGCCCTGAAAACCTCTTGCTGGGGTCACCAGAAGTAGGCTGTGACTTGATGGCTGTTTACACACACATAGAACACAAGGCGATTAAAATGTCAGCCAGGGAGGAGAAGAAACTAGACCCAGGGGCGTCGAACTCATTTGTTACGCGGGCCGGATCTGACATAAATGAGACCTTGTTGGGCCGGGCCATGTGTGTCATGAAATGTAATGCCAGGTAGCGGAGATATAAACGTTATAAAGGACACAAACACATACTTAAAATAAAAACATGCTTAAAACATTAGCTCTGTAAGCTGCAAACCTACTTTTGATTTATTGGCATTCACCACAGAAATCTCATGCTCAGAGTTCTGAGTCTAGGACCCAGGTTAGAACATGAAATGGCTAAGTGATTAAGAGAGTCTGGAGAAGCAAGCTATAATCCAGCAGCAGCAGAAGAATTGGAAGCAGAAGATGGCCAGTTCCACTGCAGGCCTGATGGGAGCCCTCCGGGGGCCTCATCCGGCCCACGGGCTGCATGTTTGACACCCCTGCTCTAGACAAAAGAAAGGCTTTACCCACCGGTGGAAGACAGTGATAGAAGAGAATGGGCTAACATCCCAGGAAGGGAGTTCCGTAATTTTGGGGCCATGACCAAGAAGGCCCTCTCTTGGGTTGTCACCCAACTGACCACAGAAAGAGGGGGCACCTGGAGCAGGGCCTCTGAAGAAGATTGTAGGAGTCAAGAAGGTCTGAATGGGAGTAGGCAGGTCCTTTATAGTGCTGGTCCAAAGACATACAGGGCTTTCAAAGTAAAAAACGGCTCTTTGAACTGAGCCTGGAGACCAATTGGGAGCAGGGCTATTTTTGGGCAGGAACGCACAGGAACGGAGTTCCGGCTGGCTCCTGAGTTGGCCACACCCAGCAGGAACTCATTAGCATAATAGGCCACACCCAACAGCAGAAACTCATTAGAATTGGCTACATTAGGGGTGTGTGGCCTAACATGCAAAGGAGTTCCTGCTACAAAAAAAACCCTCTGGGTTTTGACAACAAGGTAAACAGAATAAGAAGCAAAAGGTGGGTGTGGCTGGATGACCACACTTCTGGTAACATGGGGGTGTGGCCTAATATGCTAATGTGCTGTCAATGGTGTGGCCTAATATGCTAATGAGTTTTGCTGTTGGGTGTGGCCTATTATGCTAATGAGTTCCTGCTGGGCTTTTTCTACAAAAAATGCCCTGATTGGGAGCCAGTGTAAATGAAAGACCAGAGTGATACGGTCCTTACGAGCCACTTGGAGATGTTCCACAAATCGTGGTTCTCGTGTCCCCAGGCCTGATGAAGAACAGCACGAGTGGAGTCCAAGTGAGGAAAGTTGTTCCGCAGTGGCGTGGTCTCCCCTTCATATTTCAGATGTTTGCTAGGCACATGGTGGCATCCCGCAGTGTCGTTGAGCTGCCACATAACAATATAAACATTCAGCCCTGGTTGTGGCTACTCAGCCCCACTGCCATGTCAGCTGGCTTGC